TTCTGAAAGGATTTATGGGCACTGGGTCTGGAAAGGAAGATAGATCATCCAGCACTTCTCTGTAGGGGGCAGAGTTCATTTTCTATTCCTGTTCAATGCATTTTCTAATGCGTATACATTCATGTATGTGTTTGATTTCAAAAATTTAAAAGAAATGGAAGAAAATTTACTTAAAAATTTATTTAACACATTTCTTTATGGAGACAATGCTGGTCTAGAAGTTGGGTAACCTGCTAAAACCTGTCAGTTAACCTAAAAGATTCTGCTTACTTATTTGTAAAGTCAGGCGGTTGTATGATATCATACTAGATGATTTAATATGGGCATGGTATGATCCTTCTGGGTGAATGGGAAGAAAGTTGATGAGTTAGCAGAAGTTTAAATTAATTTCTACCATTTTCTTACATTAAGATAAACTAGAAATCTCTCCAAGTCATTCTTGCCCTTTGTTCAATATTGCAGAAACCTCCCTCATAAACCACAGGGACCAGGAGGGAGCTCTGCAAGCACCGTGGAGTGGGGTGGGCCTCTGGAGTCCCAGGCCTCGGAGTGTACCAAGTCCAGCACAAGAGTTAAGCTGATCTGATGTGTTTTTATTATTTTACCAGTTGCTGAAATGAATTCCATGCTACAAAAACTAACTCCTCCATGCTGAGTGAACAGAACAGTTGGGGTGGGGTAACTTTTTGCTATTTTTGAGTGTGGGCAGAGATGTGAATCTATTGTCTGAAGTCTACCAGTTCCAAAGATACATCAGAAGGACTACATGAGGCAATTTAATGAGTTCATATTCCAAAATGCAGCAAAACTCAAATACAGAAACCTCTTAGAGACCTTTATGGTTCCAGGGCAATTTTCTAAGACCTGGCTGTGAGAATAGTGTTGTGCAGTGGCTGCACTAGCCTGCGGTTGAAAAGTGAAGTCTAGGTTTTAGTATTAGGCAGGAAACACAAGAGGTTGATGCCACTTCAGTCCTGACAAACTTGTTTAAAAAAGAAACATGGTTGAGGGAAGACATTTTGGACCAATTCACAGCCTGTGTTCCCTGCTCGCAGCCCTGTCATTTTCATATTCCCTGGCAGGATGACAACTTCAAGGGTCTCTTAAGTGTCTTTGAATTAGTTCTTTATCTCCTAAGTTTGCAATTTCAACTGAGCAGGCCTGAAAAGAAACTAGAACTCGGGATGGCCAAGATGTTTGCCACTGAGCAGACAGACTCAGTCCTATTGAACACCAAGTATTTTTAACGATGCTATTAAGAGCACCCTAAAATCTCCTTGCCAAGTTTTGTTCTTCTGTGTGGTCCTATACTTTCCTGAGCATTGCTTATATCTCCTAACAGAGTAATAAACTGAAAGCTCAGAAATTAACTTTACATTTTCCCTTTCTGTAGAATTATAATTCCAAATTAAAGCAGAATTTACCCCCTACATTTATAAAATAGGTTTAATCAAATATACTGTTTGCTACAAATTTCTATTAAGATATGGCAGTTTCTTTTTATCACAGCTTTTGTATTTATTTGATAATATAGTCTGATCAGAGCAGTTCCTGTGCTTTTTATTTCAAGGACAAATATGGAATTAATATGATTTTCACCATTAACTTAAAGCAAGTTTACTATGCATTTCTATTTGATCTTGACTTTAAAGTTTGCACTTATGCAAACAGGAAGATGAATGCCTAGATTTCATAAAAATAATAGTAAAAAATGAATCAGCAAATAAGTAAATGGGAATCTAATCTTTTCAATTAAAAACCTCTTAACTTGAGGCCCTCCCTGGTGGCGTAGTGGGTTAAAGCACAGCACAAAGAAGCTTAAGCCACTTCTGCATGAGTTCGATCCCTGCCCACCCGGAGATGACCACATGGCCCGGCAGACCTCTCCTGACCCACCCGCTGCTCCCCTCAGCAGTGTACTTCGCCAATCTGCCTGTTCTGCTCCCCACTGTGTCTCTGGTGAATCCTCTCACCCTCCGCATCTCTGGCCTGTACCCCAGTTCTGTATGAATAAATAAATTAAAAACAAAACAAAACAAAAAACCTCTTAACTTGAATCCATTATTAGAAGGGCTTCACAAAAACAAGCTGTAAGCCATTCTCAATAATTTAAAATGAATATATGCGATCTATGACAAAATGTTTTTTAGACCATCTACGTTAAATATACAAAATTACATTTGTATTTGATTCCCTCTTATCACTTCCACCTGCCAATGAAATGCATTTGTGTGTGTTTAATCGTCTTGTTCCTATAGTGACACCATGGGCCATATTAAAAAATGCTTCTTCCCATATAATATGAATTGACAAGTCACAGGGACAGTACTCTATAACATATCCTTATTAATTAATAATGCTGTTGACTTGGTTAATGAAAACTGAACTACCTATCAGAATCTTTTTACATTGTGTCATTGCAAGCTAAGACTTAGGGATGTTTGAGCACCAAGATAGTGATGAAAGAAAGACAACTTTTACATACAAGCCAAATAATCAGCTCAGTTTAATTCCTGTACTTTCTTTCTATACTCGATAATGGCAGTTAACTGTTTAGTCACCTTGTGTTTGGATAGGGAAGAAAGTTCATTGACACCGCAAAATGTCCAAATTAGGCAGGAAATAAGTGGTAGAATAAGACACTGCTTTGGGAGTTGGAAGATGTGGGGATTAGTCTTATTTTTGTCACTGACTAGGTTTGGACCTTCTGCAAGATCCTTCACCTCTCTGTAACTGTTTTTTCAGTCTCAGTGCTACCAACGAGAAGGCCCACCGAGAGGGCCTGCTATCAATCCCCTGGCAGAGCTGATTCACATGGTGCAGCAGACCTCTCCTGTCTTGCCCACGGATCCCCTCAGCAGTGTATTTTAGTAGATCCTCCTGTTCTGCTCCCTATTCTATCTCTGGTGAATCCACTCATCTTCCGCCACTCCTCTCACCTGTACCCCAGTTCTTGTATGCATAAATAAATAAATAAATAAATAAAATCTTAAAAAGAAGAACTTAGTAAAAGGTTAAGATTTCTTTTGGTTACAAATTTTCATTAGGATTCCACAATGTTTAGGAACTGTTAATATAGCAGCTAGTTTCTTTATGTGAAATGTCTAGAAATAAAAACAAAGTTCAAAAAAAAAAAGATTTGAAATATTCAGACAAATAAATAATACATAATCCTCCCCTCCTTCCCAGCCTTTGGTTCTTTTCTTTGTTAGGTTTGTGATGTGAAATCTTGATCATTTAAAAATGGCTGTAATTCATGATTAGAACAATTACCTGATGGAGGGGTAAGCGGTTACCTGATGGAGGGGTAAGCGGTTATAAATGAGTTAGAGGAATTCATTTCATTTTATATATGCTGAGAATGACTGTGTCTGGTATAATACAAGAATTTTTAATCACTACCTACTTGGGTTGTCTTTGAACAAATTAGTTATCTACATGATATTTTAAATGTGTTACTCTTTGTGTTAAAAGTTGAATTAACATAATTAAAATATTCTAAATCAGAACTCTTACTTCAGCAGAATTTTCTACAGCAATGCCCTCAAATACAATAGAGCTGACTAAAAACCACCTCTTCATATGTTTCCCTACCCTCTGTTTTCTGTCTCAACAAGAAGGGGGGCTAGTTATATTAGCACCTGGGCCTTGGGCTACTGATCTCCTTAATGTTGCTGCTGTTCTCAGGAATTCTGTCTGCTCATTTTCTTTTTATTTAGGAATGCCAGTTAAAAGGAACTAAGTTTAGCTTTCACAGGTTTTCTTTCTTCCTTGAGCAAATTCCTTTTCCTTCATGTCTTGTTGATAAATGAGCAGGGGGCTTGTTGAGGGAGATGCTTTAAGGCAAACTGAAGACAGGTGTTAAATATTGAGGGTTCTCCAAGTTTTTAAGTTGACAATTTATGGACATAGGGGAAAGTTCACAGTAGTAGAATCCTGTTTTAGGACCAAGTGGATTAATGCATAGCCTTGAATTTACTGAGAGGAAAAGTGGAATATTTGGGACTATGTGTTTTGTGCAAGGGTGTGTGCACATGACCAGAGATGAGGAAAACTGAGCGTTGACCAGATCGCCTTTATCCACACTTCCTCACTTGGCCAATAGGAGGAGCTGGCTTACCCTCTGCCAGAAAAAGAACTAAAATATGTATTTGGACTACAATGAAGATACAATTTAAAGCGAGTTAAAAAGGAATGAGAGTTGGAGGAAGCTGAGAATAATGAAACTAAAACCTCATTGACTTTTCAGTAAAATAGTTGGCTTTTCTGTGGGAGGGGAAGAATGTATATGTGAATAGTGGCAATATCATAATCAGACCAGAGCATATTTTATACAGTAAAATACATGCCTGAGAGCTGTCCAGTAAGTAACTGCTATTTTTTTTAAAAAAGCTGTCATCCATAGAAAATAAGAGAACTGGCAAAATACTGCTGTCTCAAATATGCAGACCTATAAAGATCTGAATGTTTTACAACCTGAATTGAAATACAAGAACATAATTCAGAAATCACTCCACAGATTTGAAAGTTTCGATTTTATAAATTGTTATGTTCAAACAAGGGTCATTTAATAAAATGTAACTCTGGAAAGTAATAGCTGGACTTTACAACTAATGCCACTACATACATATACACATACATGTATGTATATATGTATATATAGAACCCAAATAGATAACACACACATATACACACACAAGGCATGTGTGTGTATGCGTGTGTGTATATACACACATAGATGACACAGAATGTTCTATTTAAGTTGTCATTTCACTTTTAACAAAGTGTTAAATCAGAATGTAATTACATTTTTACACAATATGTAATGCAACTATATTAAACTTAGTCACCTTTAATTATTTAACAGCCTAGTAGATGAAACTGTATTTCACAGAAACAAGGATAAGCTGAGACCAAGACACAAAGTATGTGCTCTGAAGTCACTGAAAGCACTTGATCATCATAATAAAGATGGCCAAAGTTTCCAACCTCGTTAAAAGTAAGGAGTCATATAAGAAATGGCTTTATTAGAAAAAATGTAGTGTACACGTGGCTGATTTCTATTCATCAATAAACCTCTTGGCTATTTTAAAACTAAAGTCTGACATAGGGTTTAAACTTCTTTAGAAGTTAGCGGCATTTCTTCCTATTCTGTGTGACTTAGGGAAGGAGTTATCTTCATGTGACAGACCCCTATTTCCTTTCATAATTACAATTTATCAATCAGTAGTTTAGCACTGGCACAAAACACAGAGGATATTATTAGGTAGTGATTTATGTGTGAGATATCACAATTCGAATTCAGAATCAGGCACAAATATGCCAGTTATAGATTTTAAGTCCCTTCTTATCACTCGTGTCCCACAATATTATTACTTAGTAGTAATTAAATTCATGTGATCACCTGTATCCTAATAAAATCTCTCAGTGAAGTTTCTCTCTTCTCCTTTTTTTTCCTGCTAGATGTGCAATTCCAAGCAAATGTGCAGTATGCAGTATTGATTTCCAGTCTCTTTTTAAACTCCTTCAAGTCTGTGCTATTAAACTGAGACAACCACATCAAGATAGAGTCTGTCATACGATTCCCTGAAGCACAGAATGAGGAGGAGACTGAGCAAACACGACCCAGGAAGGCACCAGTTGAACCAAGACAACTCTGTAAGACAAAAACATGCAGTTGTAAGCATTCAAGTGTCACTAGCAGAACACCACCTGTATGCCAGGAGCAAGCTGCTCTGCGTTCAAAAGCACTTAGAATAAATGCACCTTGGAAGCCCTGCACAGGCTCTCAATAAACAGTGACAATCTAGAATGTAAGTGATGCATGTAATATATTACAGGGCCTTCATGCGGAGTTTTTTTAAATCAATATTGTTAATAACTTTTCACCAATTTAATCCTCCTTGACTTTGGTGGCAAAAAAAATCCATTGCTTCAAAGAAGAAAAATCAATCACCTTTCAATGTTTAGTTTGCTAATTATTTTTTAAGTGCCCTCTATCACCACCATGCTTGCTACTGCTTAGAAATATCTGATGGATTAGAAGACCCAGATGGACATCACCTGAATTTTGAGATATATTTTAATACTGTGGGGGGCAGAGATAGCTATTTGTTAGCATAAACATTAAACTGTAATTGTAAAGCATTAGAAATCATATTTAAAAAATTCAACCTAAAAAATTGAATTCTAATTTGACCATCAGAGAAGCCATTGGAAATGTTTTGGTTTATTTCTTTTAAGCCTTATGTTTTTTTCTATTAGTATATGTGGTTAATGCTCAGTGATGCTGATCATCAGGAAACCTACAGTAATCACCTAAACAAGTAGCTCTTTTGCTCTCTGACTTAATGGGATTAAGGACAGTGTCTTTAAAAATGCTGGCTCATGACTTCAAGATCCTCGGACACAGATGAGCCAGCCAGGCAGCTGCCCAGAGCTGCTTCCTCACCAATGGCCGGCCCGAGCCCTGCATTTGCTGTTTCCTTCTAGCTCACTCTCTTTGTCAATCCCGAACCTTTGGATGCAGAAGCCAGTAGTTTCTTAACTTATGAAGAGGTTGGTGGGGTTGGGTTTGGATAACTCCTCTAACACCCATTTAGCATTTTCAATTTATAGGGAAAAAACCAACAAATGAGGGAAATGTTTCCCCGGATACATTTTTTTCCTTTCGGTATTGCTATCAGGTTCATATTTCCTCTTTGTACTTCTATAAAATGCTAATACTACCTTAATCTTTAAAAATCTTCCTCAAGATTTCCACACTGCTGCTTTAGTTTAATCCATAATTCATATGCCTAAAAGAGCATTTTTTGCTCAGGGATGGAAATCAGGAAACCAACTATTAATAAATGTGCTAAAATACCCTCTTTTTTGGGCTAGTATGCTAACAAAAGTAGCCTCTCCACCTCTCAATTTTTACATTTAAAAAATGGCTCATGCTATTCTACAGCATGTAACAAAGGCGTACATTTCAATGGTATTTTCATGCAAGTCTTTTCTGTCCTTTTCTTGGCTTGAATATAATCTAGACACTCAGAAAGGCTGTGACCTATGGGATCTTGTCTTTATTCTGCTATTCCCTGAAATGACACACCAGGCATTTTCTGCATTTATATTAACCTTTTAGCTTCTTGTTTCTAATGATAATTTTAATAGGCAAAAGGCAGCAGTAAAAAAATTAAAACAACAGTAAAACAGAGACAAAGGCATATTGTTTATATTAAAAGTGAGCTTTTTACTATGGTGATGGCACATGGGTGATTTGGTGATGGGAAACCCAAGGGGATTGCAACTGAGATGGAAAAATGCACAAAAATATCTAAAAATAAACTATTATAAAATTAAAAATTAAATAAACTTTAAAAAAGTGAGCATTTTACTGTTAGGGTCAGATTTAAGCAAGCTCTCATAGAAAGTATGGTACTTGACAAAGGTCTATCACATGGCATTTTTTAGACCTTGTATTTTATGGGACACTTCAGTGACACATGTAGCAACATTTAACTTGTCTTTGCTCTCCTTACACCTAGATATTTGTCAAATACTGCCAGGCAGGCCTTTTATTCATCACAGTTGTAAAAGTATTCTATTACCTCCATCCATATAAAATCTCTATACAGGCCTTGTAACTGTTCTTTGGTGTCATGGTTTTTTGGTTGATTTTTACCAATGTACTTCTCTGAAAATGCAAATCCACCTTTCAGTAGGTTCACCTGGCTCAATCAGCCGCTAGTGCTCTTTGAAATTATTTGCCTTTTAAGAAAGCAAAAGGTCAGAGTCGAGGAATCTCTACCTTTTCCAGGCAAAGACATTCACATAAACCACAGTTCAGGTACTAGTAAGCAGGGCATGGCTTGCCTAAAAGTTAAATTTCATTCCGTAGAAGCAAAGTCAACTGCTGTCTCTTCTGAGCCTGGTGTCTGACTTAACAGAGTCTTGATGCACTGAATTTTCTCATTCTGACACCTTTATATCCCTTAAAGTGAACAGTTTTCTAACATCTGCTCTTTTTTTTTGTTTTTTAAGATTTATTTATTTATTTTGTTAGGCAAGTGATTTTTAAAAATAATAAATAGTTTATTTTTACATCATTTTGTGCCTTTTTCCATCTCAGTTGTAATACCCGTGGGCTTCCCATCATCAGTTCACCAGTGCGCCATCACCACAGTCCAGTGCGCTTCCCTTCCCTCACTGTTTTTGATCCCATTCCCCATCCCACCTCCGCAAAATGTCTCTGGTATATAGCTGTTCATTATTATTATTATTATTATTTTCTCCCCTGGTCCTTTATACTCCTGCTATGAGTGAAATTATCTGGTATTTTTCCTTTTCTTTCTGGCTTATCTCACTAAGCATGATCTTTTCCAGCTCCATCCAAGTTGCTGCAAAAGGCATTTTTTTTTGGTTGCTGAGTAATATTCCATTGTGCATATGTACCACATCTTTTTAATCCAGTCATCTACTTTTGGGCATTTGGGTTGTTTCCATGTCTTTCCAATTTGTAAATAAAGCAGCAATAAACATGGGGGTACAGGTGTCTTTTTGAATCAATGTTTTTGTGTCTTTTGGGTAGATACTTAGGAGTGGGATTGCTGGGTCATATGGAAGCTCCATGTTTAGCAGTTTGAGGAACCTCCAAACAGTTTTCCATAGTGATTGTACTAGTTTGCATCCCCACCACATCTGCTATCTTTTTACTTGAAGGTAGACCCATTCTCTATAACTCCACAATTCACCTCAAACTTCTGCCATTTTTTTTTCCTTATCATGTACGTGTGTATTCTGAATATTCTGCAAATTTACAGCTCAGACAGGTGCTACCCTGTATCAAGGAATTGAGTCCTGGTGAGTCTGTTGGGACTGAATTAATTAGGATTCTGCTTATCCTCTTACCGTTTCTTCCAGTACTATTACACATTTTATCTCATGGTTTACTTCAATGAGGCCACTGTTTTTGGTTTCTGCTGGCTTCACCTACAATAGGTCCTCAAATAATGTCATTTTATTCAATGTTGTATTTCATAACTCAATGAGAAAAAGCAATCTCAGCCAACTTTGAAAAAAATAGTTATCTGAAGACCTGGGATTATTATGCATTGTTTTTGCTTAAAGCCACAATTTCCAAGAAACTATTGGTAATTTAACCATCATAATGATGATTTAACAAGCTTTGCTTCTCCTCTCTCACTTACAGGAGCCAGCTGACACCATGAGTTCTGAGTTAGTGGCCTGCGTCCTTCACTCTGCATTATCGGCCATCACATCGCATAATTTCTTTTAGTAGATATAAAATTACTTCTCACTGGTCCACACCTGCTGTACCTCTTCTCCTGTTAGTGCCTCCCATCTCAGCCCATCCCCTGAATCTTTTGAGCCCAAAGCAGCCTCAAATGCATGGTTAGTTACTTCAAAAGAAAAGGAATGAAGTAAAAACTTTGCATGATTTTAGACAAAACCTGCAGCAAAACATCTAGAACAAAGTATGACAGATAATACAACTTCAGAAAAAATTACAAACTATGAAATAGAACACCAGAATAAATTTTAGAGCATACAAATACTATTACAGTAATACTGTATTGATTTTATACATGAAGTTATTAGAATAAAACATCACTCTGGTGTCTAAAAAACCACTGAGATTCTCAAAGCAAGCATTATAGGAAGCAACTCAGTTTTACAGATAAGATTACATTAGGGAGCAATTTTTCTTTTTTGGAAAGTGACTTAGAAAAACACAAGTCAGGTAACTCCAAGAAACTTTCACATGGTTCCAGGTACCCAAAGCAGAATCAAAATAGGACCTGGGTTACCTTGTGACTCATGACTTCAAACAAGCCAATAGTGCTGGTATAAAAGGCCGGGTCACATTTTGCTGTCAATGCTGGTGAAGACTAATCTCCATTCAGACCACCAGTGGATCCTATCTTGCTTGGCCTATCTTGTGTCACATTCTAATGTGGTCATTTGGGGGTTAGTTTGTAGAGTTCTGAAAAATTATCTCTGGTAGTGAACTACCAGAAACCATATTGTGGGGAAATAAACTCTAGTCAGGAAGTGCAGTAGTTTTTTGAGAAGAAACCATAGATCTTTATGGTGACTAAAAAGTCAGACTCTTTAATCATATAACTAACAGCTGAATTTTGATGTTACTCACTTCTGAGTGATTTTTTTCAAGACTTAAAAGGACTGGATTATGGCATTTGGGCACTGGTTGCAATAGAAGGGAATTTAATTTATTATATAAATGTCTAGGGTACCAAACTGGAATTAAATTATTTTTAGAAAATAGTTTTATGGACTTTTCAGATTTATAATTTCTGCACTATCATATTTCAGTTATAAAGCATCTGGACTTTTGTTGTGGGACTTTGGGGCAAGATCAATTAACCATATGTGAAAGAACGTGAACATGATCTTTATAGTTTTAGTTAAATCAGCTTTAGACATCTGAGGTATGTTGTTTATATTGATTATATTGACTCACAAATAAGACATATCAGCATTTCTCTAAAACAGAAGACTAGATGTTTAAGTTCCTAACAGCTAGTTACCCAGAAGGAAACAAAAAAAGCATTTGGTGAGTGCCAAATTCCCTGATCTAGGCCTTTCACATATATTTTCTCATTAATTCTATAAAATATAAAAATGTACTGAGGTTTTTTTTTCTCCTGAAAATCACCTTGTTGGATTAAAATTAATTACTATTTAAAATTTCATTGTTCACAATAATCCTGGAGATTAGGCAAACCTGTAACACATATAGATAGGTATAAGGATATGTGATTAGAAACCAATTAATAAGAAGGAAGCTTTTTTCCGTCAGCTAGATGGGTCATGGTTTATATCAGTGAGTTACAGATTAGCAGAAACCATGCTAAGTCTTTCCTTGCCTCCTATGCCAAGGAAACAAGAGAGTTTGTGTGTATCTGGTCTCTATGACTCCATAAAACAAGTGCTGAGCAGTGACTGATGTCAGTTCCAACTAACTGGTGCCAAGCATCAGCCTCTGTGAATAAACCAACAGCTGTAGCTGGACATAGGAGAGGGACAGGGATAGTCACTCCACCGGCCAAGCAAAATGGTCAGGAGTGCTGGTGTCCAGTCAGATAGTGCAGGGTGTTTCCTGCCCTTAAACCGATCGACAAATACATGTTTATTCAATCCTGGAGACCACAAGCAAGAGATTTCTTGAGGGATAATATTGTCTGGCATCTATTGTCTTAAACTACCAAAGGATAACACTCCATTTCTGGCTCTGTGAGACTGCAAGGACCACTTAGCAAATCTGTGCCCAAGTTGGAAAATCACTTCTATAACCCACAGACAACACAGTCATCTTTGATGCTTTACCAGGCAAAAGAGGCACTGAGCCTTTTAGTTCCAACTGTGACAAAACTGAAGTGGAGTAAAGAGGTAATTGTTAGATGATTCTGTTTAGAAAACTCATTACTCCAATACTCGGCAGTGGCATTTTCCCTAAGAGTAGTCTGATTTTATTAATATCACTGACATTCCACAACATTACTCTCCTTCATATGATAACTAAAGCTCGCATCAGGGGTGGCTGATTGCTGACAATCTAGTTTGTTGTTGACTACATTAAGACATCCACATACCGTCTGGATGCTCTTTTGCCACTTGGAGAAACACAATGCGAAAGGCTGTGCAAGCCCAGGGCAGATTCTATTTTACCAGCTTTGAAAGTTTCAAAAATTTACTTGCCAGCCAAGGAGGTTACCTTGACTATTATTTCAATGATAAGCCTGTCAGGAAGTTTCCTGTAAACAATTAGGTCTCTTGGAGTGTCACATTTAGAGCATTTCTTACATTTGAATCTTACAAATTAGATTCTTTCATGTAGAAAGTATCTAAATGCACTGGTATTTGATGAGTCGTTTAAGAGATCAGCAGCGGTGGTGGGAAAGATAGTAGTACTAGATTGTTTAAAATGAAGAAATAAATGTGAAATAAACCTAGACCAAATCTTAAAATGCTTTATATTCACGACTCATATACATAAATTCTTACAAATTGTGCAAAAACAAATCCCAGATAATTATGGTCAAATTTTCTGAAAGCCTAGGACAGGATTTTCACCAAAGAAGAGAATATTAGAGCAAACTAGGCAACTGTGTGAATAGAACCACTACAAACCCACAGGCCTCAGGGCAGCTAGCCAGCCGGCCAGCTGGGCAGTCGCGTGCTCAGCGGGTCTCCTCCCACCTGCTCACTCAACAGGTATTTTAGTTTCTTCCTCTTCTCAAACCCCTTCTCCACACCCCTACCAGATCTTAGCAGATGACCTGGCTTCTACGTTGCAAGCAATGTCCACCGGTCTGCTGCCGTCGGTGTCACTAGTCTGCCTGGCAAAAGCAATGCACAGGCCTCTCTTCTGTCTCCTTTGCTTAAGGTGACCTCCTCCACTTGGATTCAGGAGCCCTTCCTTTCCTCATCTGGAATGCTCTTCTTCTTCAAGGTGTAGCCGGGTGTACCCTTATCACTTTATACCTGCACAACTGGGGAGTCACTAGCTATGTAGTTCTTTATATTGAAACATGAGAATCTAGAAATCCTGTTGCAAAGCTGGGCTAGCTTCATGTGGCTAGTGGCTACGCTATCAGTGCAGCTAAAGAACACTTCCATTATCAAGACAAGTTCCACTGGACACTGCAAATATACTTTTGGGGTGACCTCTCACCCGTATAGCTTTAAAGTACATACAGACCACTGACATTAACTTATTCTCTTTACTGAGACAGTAGAGTCTAAGTATTTTTTTTTAAAAAAGCAATATACCAGTAGTTCTCAATGAGAACCTGCATATTAAATACCTGGGGTGGGGGATTGTATTAATAAAAAAAAAAATTTTTTTTTTTTTTTTTTTTTTTGTATGCTTAAAAAAAAATGCTGGGCCTCAAGCTAATTCAGGTAGAAACTCTAGGAGGAATTGTATTAAATAAAGTTAAGATATACTCCAAAAAAAACCCCAAAAAGCCAAAAAAACAACTGAGTATATTTTCTTCTACTTGCATTTGAAAGCTCAAGAAATTAGCTTTAGTGAGAATTCTCATGAAATTCCCTACCCATCAGTGCTGCCAACCTCTGTCATAACACATTTAGAGTAAATAAAGTTAAATTTCTTACCTGTGTGATAAAATGTGAGAAAAAATAAAAGTACTCCCATGAAGATATTACTTAAAAAAGTGACAACTCCACAGGTAATCCCTTCTGGAACTGGGTAGACAGTTTCCACAAAGAGCTCAAAAAATATAGGTACACTGCTATTCAAGAATACTCCCAGGAGGATACAGGAGGTGTACAATGTCACTGAAAGAAAAACACAAACATTTTAGTGTCATGTTACAGCAATCAGTCCTATCAGCTCTTCTGGGTGATCTCTTTCACAAGCACCAACTTTGCTGGAGTGTCATCTCTTTTTAATGATAGTTGATAAAATCTGACAAAGCACCATATATCTGCTAGCTCTTTGCTCAGGCTTTGTAGAGTAGACAGAAAAGATTTTGCTTATTTTGTGTTCTTGTCTCCTTGCCCAACATGGCAGTGTCAGCAAAAACAAAAAACAAAACAAGAAGGGGAAGACCATCTTCCTAACAGACTTTCTGGCTGAGGATGGTGGGACTGGTGAAGAAAGTACCTGCATTTCTAAACCAGTCAGCTGTGCTGACTGGAAGCGGGAGACGACCTGGAAGGAGATGTCTTGACCACTTGGCACAATGATGACAGTGTCCTGTACAGGCACTTCCATCCTGTCCACTGCTTCACAACTTCTTGGGAACCCTACAGAGACTGGGGCCTACACTGCTTTTCTAGGAAACCTACCCTATGATATGGCAGAAGACTGCATTAAGGAATTTTTTAGAGGTTTAAATATCAGTGCAGTTCATTTTATCACATGAACCCAGCAATCCAGAGAGGTTGAAAGGTTTTGGTTATGCTGAGTTTGAAGGCCTTGCTCAATGCCCTGAGGCTCAAGAAGTAATGGGAGAATTGGAGTGGAGGTTGCTGACCAAGCACAGGGTAAAGACAGAGATCATTGTTCTTTCAGCTGAGATAGAAATCAGAATTCTGACAAAACAAGTATAGAGTGGAGGGTCCATTCTGATGACTACCCACTTAGAAAAGGTGGTGAAAGCTGTGGAGGTAAGTGTTAAGAGCGTTATGATTCAGGCTGGTGTCGTGATATGAATATGGATATGGGATATGGATCCATATGGAGGCCTGGATTGCTATGAGGACCAAGGCAACAGAGATTATGACAGAGGATATGATTCCCTAATAGGCAGGGGCAGAAAAACATGTGGTAGCAGATAATGTTGGGATGATGACTGCAGAAGACATGGGGACCGCTATATGACAGGGGCGATGATGGGTCATGGACTCCAGAGATGATTAATCTCCAGATGGCTATAGGCATGAGGATACGGTCTCCTCCGGAAACCCAAACTATTGAGTCTAAAGCCTGAGAGTACTCCTAAGGAAGATGATTCACTTGTTAGCACCCCAGGTCCTGTCAAGCAGCAGCTATCTTTGGAGGGGCAAAGCCTGCTGACACAGCTGCTAGAGAACAAGAAGTAGAAGAGCAGCTACAAGGAACAGGAAACACTGCAGCGTTGGCTGGATGAACCAAAACTAGGATGTCAGTCACACTGTGGGAGTAATGGAAACTCAGGAACAGGAACAGTAGAGGACAGGCCGTGAGTCATCACAGATGGGGACTTCAGCCACATCTGGAAGAAGTCAGTCAGACCGGATGCACGGAGAAAGTGAGAAGTCTCTAGAAAATGAAACACTGAATAAGGAGGAACACCGTCACTTTCCAACTTCTAAGACTCTCAAACTGAACAGCCTTTAAAGGTAATGCCAGTCTCTACTCCAAAAGAGAATACTTGGGTGAAGCAAGTTTCTAACCCTCCTGCTGATCTCAGAGTTCACACACAAGGCTGCAGGCCACACAAAGGGAAAAGTTGTTCAGCTCAACCATGTGAGGAAGTCACAAGCAAAAAAGTAGATGGAAAAAAAAAAAAAAAGTAGATGGGGTGAATGTCCCAAAAGGCCAAAGTGGGAACGGCAGCCACTGTCCAGAGGATGGAGGGAACAATGTCCACTGGAAGGAGTCTCAGGAAAGAACCAAGATTCCTGATCTGCACTTGAGCCAAAGAAATCTGAACAATATCCAGCCTCCAAATTCAGTTTTGTAAGCAAATATGCTGCTCTCTCCATTGATGGTGAGGATGAAAATGAGAGAGATGACACAGAGCAGACCTCTCTACCCTGAAACATTCTAGAGCAAGTCAAACCTCTATCCAGATGAGAAAAAACAAAATTCACCATATCACGGGGCAGGGAAGGGGCAGCAGGGGAGATTTTGTTGTTGGGTGATTTCTGATTTCTTTCTTTTACCTTTGGGTGGATTATTTCAAAGCACAGGAACAATTTTAGCACTAAACTATAAGGATTCTTCCCACTTAGTCATATTCCTAGCAAACAGAGAAACTATAGTAGATTAATTAAATATCTGGACTCATTCTATACTTCTAAGGATTTAAAATCTAAGAAGATATGTAAAAAACAGTAAATGTTAGTGAAATTTACATATTTAAGACTGTTTAGTAATAGCCTTCAAACACAAAATAAAAAGTATTCGATATGTAATTCCTGGAGAAACATTTAGAATTAGTCTTCAATTTTGGAATGCACTTTGTAATGAAAAGTTTTATTGAAAATGCCTAACAGGGCTCTCTCTGGTGGCGCAGCGGGTTAAAGCACAGCTCTGAGAAGCTAAAGCCACTTCCGCATGAGTTCCATTCCCACCTGCCCCGGAGGTGACCACATGGCGCGGCAGACCTCTCCTGACCCTCCCGCTGCTCCCCTCAGCAGTGTACTTCGTGGATCTGCCTGTTCCCACTCTGTCTCTGGTGAAGCCTCTCACCGTCCCTAAGCCTCTGGCCTGTACCCCAGTTCTGTATGCACAAATAAATAAATCTTTAAAAAAAATGTATAACATTTGGAACACCGAAAAAATGCTCACACAGAAACTTATAATTCATGGTGTCAGGATCCTAGATTAGCCAGTAAAAAGCCTACTGGTCCTATTCTATGGTGAAACCTTTGAATAAGTACAATATTCTCATTCTTGGAAGAATGTTTAGGGCAAAACATGATACTCCAAATGATTATGTCTGCATGCAAGCCTTCATTATTTTAATTTGAAGGTGAAAACAGAACCAATGAGGAGAAAATTCCCATTTAGAAATGTAAACACATCCCTTTTAGGTCAATAAGTATTATCATATCCACAATGACAATGAGTAAAATTTATTCTGAGCTTAAGGTTGCCAGGAAAATATGTTTAGTAAAAGTAATATTAAAAAAAGATTTTATGTAGGATCTGCAGAAAGTAAGAGTTATCCTAAATCTGTTATGGATATTCACAGAACATATCAAATAATTGGAATTTACCATTATTGCAGTCATTAACTGCCCATACATTATTGGAAGAATAAAAAGAATAGTATACACCTTCCCTAACAGAATTTCTCCAACTAGCCTCAACTCCTACTTCTTCCTTCAGTTATACCAGTCTTTCAGGATTCCAAAATATTTAATATATCCTAAAAACACAAACTGCTGGTGGATTATTTGACTTTCTTGGACTAGAAGACACATGAAAACACATAACAAATGGCTAACAATGAATATAAGAATATACTATTGGTTAATGTAATGACCAAATTGTTCACAGAATCAAGGGGGGAAGAGGGAAAGCATCTGAGTTTCAATCTACAGAATACTTAATTTATTGGCCAGTCAGTGGTAATCAGAGTAGAAATGGCTACTGATGCAAACCTTGATGAGAAAATTGCTTAAATTAAGAAAATAGTTAAGTTTATTAATGAAATTTAAATTAAGGAAAAGTTACTCTAAAGTACTAGGAGGTGCAGCTTCTAAATAAGGATTCACAAAATGCTGACAGAATTATTCACAGAATTAGCAGTCTTTAGGAAATAGTTTGGAAATATTCCCCATTGACATTTTCACTTTTGAAGGACACATACTCTTCACATGTAATTTGTAATCAAGCAAATTAACATGTAATAATTGAAAAGTAATCATAATCAGTATGCAATATAATAACTGCATGTTGTAAAAGAATGACAAAGTAATGTTGAGGACATAATGAAAATGAGTTTGTGGTATGGAGTCCTGAAAAGAGAAATTCCTTCAAAATCTTCTGATTTTGCTTCCTTATGTGTCTAAATTCTGGGAAAGGAGAGGGAAATCATTTTCACTGGAAAGATAAAAGAATTACAAACAGGACATCTTCTGATACATGTAGTTACTTTTTAACACAATAAGAGTAATTTTACTGTAAACTACTAAGTTAGCAACTGATAATGGCTGTACTTCAGTGTCTCAGCTCACAGATTCAGTATCACCAGGTTCGCCAGCCCCCCTATCCTCAGAAGCTACATAACCTAGTCACCATATAGGTTCTCTGATATAAGATATTTGTACTTCCTTATTAAAATTCTGATTCTATACAGGTTAAATGAACTGAGAGGGATGATGTAACGTCAGAAGTCAGTAATCTGAAACTAAGTGTATTTTCACTAATTCTCTCTCTTGTGCTTGCTTCTTGTATGGTACAGTATGACCTAAGGATTGTTTTAAATTGCATGGGTATTCTAAAATCACTTGCTATTGCAGAAACTAAAGAATCAAAATAATTTACACTGGAAAGGATTACAGTAAGATCTCACAATCAGGGCAGGGGAAAGGCATCTGTGTCAGCACTGACTTACAGTATCCCCCTGTGTTCTGGGCCATGCATAAAGCAAAAGTCAATCGTTATGAATCTAAATGTGACTTCCATTAGCGTTTTCGGTCTGGAGTCTGATACAGTATCTTTAGATGTGAGTTTGACAGATCTAGCTGGTGAATGTCATGTATTTAAAAAGTCAGGCAGACAAGATAATTTCCTACTCCTCAGAGAGATTCAAGCTCCATGATCATTAAATATTTCCATGACTATAGCACTGATACTAAAATTAAAATAAACTGCCTTTCATTAAAAAAGTCAAGGTAATTTAGCAGAACAAACACAATGCTAATGCAGAGTTTTTTCAAAGGAGCTAATAAAGTTTCATAGGTCCAAGATTTAAAATTGCAAAAAAATAGCACAAACTAGTTACAATGGACATATTTCAAGAATGAACTGAATCACACCACTGAAAGTATTCACTGCACCCTGGCCCCATTCCACCCCTCCAGTGAGAAGCCTCAAATCACATTATTAAACTATAAGA